GCTTTATAAGTGACATTATTATTATTATTATTATTATTAGTCAGGATACACACAGACATGATCACCTGTATCTGCATATTAGTCAGGATACAGACATACATGATCACCTGTATCTGCATGTTCCTCTGGATATAGACAGACATGATCACCTGTATCTGCATGTTCCCCTGGATATAGACAGACATGATCACCTGTATCTGCATGTTCCCCTGGATATAGACAGATATGATCACCTGTATCTGCATGTTCCCCTGGATATAGACAGATATGATCACCTGTGGCTGCATGTTCCCCTGGATGTAGACAGACATGATCACCTGTGGCTGCATGTTCCCCTGCATATAAACAGACATGATCACCTGTATCTGCATGTTCCCCTGGATATAGACAGACATGATCACCTGTATCTGCATGTTCCCCTGGAAATAGACATACAAGATCATATGCATCTGCATGTTAGTCAGGGATACAGACATACATGATCACGTGTGTCTGCATGTTCCTCTGGATACAGACAGACATGATCATCTGTATGTGCATGTTCCTCTGGATATAGACAGACATGATTATCTGTATGTGCATGTTAGTCAAAATCTCGAACTATTCGTATGCAGATGATACCCAACGCCTGAAGCCTTTCACACCTGCGTTACTATCACCAGCGTCCAACAACTAGAACTCTGCACTGCCGGAATAAAATCATGGATGAACGGCCAAACACTAAAGCTCAATGATGAAAAAACAGAGGTTCTACTTGTTGGCAGAAAGCATCACCTAACTCATCTCAGAAATGAAGTCACAATTGGTTCAGCACAAGTGTCTACATCGAGACTTGTGAAAGACCTAGGAGTTCAGATTGACGCAGACCTTTCACTGCAGGAGCAAGTCAACAGAATATGCAAATCATGTTATTTTCATCTTAAAGCCATAGGAAACATCAGGAATTACATCACAGCGGAATGTGCCCACATCCTAGTCAGATGTCTAGTGCTATCCAGACTAGACTACTGCAATGGACTGTTGATCGGCCTCAGCAAACACAATATCTCAAGACTACAGAAAGTACAGAATACAGCTGCAAGAATTATTTCTCGGAAGACTAAATCTGATCACATCTCTCCTGTTCTCAAATCCTTACATTGGTTGCCTGTTCAACAGAGAATCGACTTCAAACTACTCTGCATCACTTTCCGCTGTCTCCACAATCAAGCTCCAGAATATCTCACCGAACTCATCACAGAATACATTCCATCAAGATCACTCCGGTCCCAGAATCAGCACCTACTACAAGTTCCCAAATTCCACCTAGTTTCGTATGGGAAAAGGGATTTCTCCTATGTTGCACCAACTCTTTGGAACTCTTTACCTTTAGAAATCAAACTATGTGAATCTCTCTCAACTTTCAAGTGAAAAGTTAAAACTCACCTGTTTCAAAGTGCCTATGATTGACTCTTTTACTCAATTCTTTTCAGCGCATTGAGCATTCATAAGTGTGTGGACATTTGCGCTTTATAAGTGACATTATTATTATTATTATTATTATTAGTCAGGATACACACAGACATGATCACCTGTATCTGCATATTAGTCAGGATACAGACATACATGATCACCTGTATCTGCATGTTCCTCTGGATATAGACAGACATGATCATCTGTATCTGCATGTTCCTCTGGATATAGACAGACATGATCACCTGTATCTGCCTGTTCCTCTGGATATAGACAGACATGATCATCTGTATCTGCAACTTCCCTCACGATAGAGAAATACATGATCACCTGTATCTGCATGTTCCTCTGGATACAGACAGACATGATCACCTGTATGTGCATGTTAGTGAGGATACAGACAGACATGATCACCTGTATCTGCATGTTAGTCAGGATACAGACATACATGATCACCTGTATATGCATGTTCCCCTGGATATAGACAGACATGATCACCTATATGTGCATGTTCCCCTGGATATAGACAGACATGATCACCTATATGTGCATGTTCCCCTTGATATAGACAGACATGATCATCTGTATGTGCATGTTGTCAGGATATAGACAGACACGATCACCTGTATCTGCATGTCCCCCTGGATATAGACAGACATGATCACCTGTATCTGCATGTCCCCCTGGATATAGACAGACATGATCGCCTGTATCCGCATGTTCCCCTGGATATAGACAGACATGATCACCTGTATCTGCATGTTCCCCTGGATATAGACAGACATGATCACCTGTATCTTCATGTTCCCCTGGATATAGACAGACATGATCACCTGTATCTGCATGTTCCTCTGGATATAGACAGACATGATCACCTGTATCTGCATGTTCCCCTGGATATAGACAGACATGATCATCTGTATCTGCATGTTCCCCTGGATATAGACAGACATGATCACCTGTATCTGCATGTTCCCCTGGATATAGACAGACATGATCACCTGTATCTGCATGTTCCCCTGGATATAGACAGACATGATCATCTGTATCTGCATGTTCCCCTGGATATAGACAGACATGATCACCTGTATCTGCATGTTCCCTGGATATAGACAGACATGATCACCTGTATCTGCATGTTCCCCTGGATATAGACAGACATGATCACCTGTATCTGCATGTCCCCCTGGATATAGACAGACATTATCACCTGTGGCTGCATGTTCCCCTGGATATAGACAGACATGATCACCTGTGGCTGCATGTTCCCCTGGATATAGAAAGACATGATCACCTGTATCTGCATGTTCCCCTGGAAATAGACATACAAGATCATATGTATCTGCATGTAAGTCAGGATACAGACAGACATGATCACGTGTATCTGCATATTAGTCAGGATACAGACATACATGATCACCTGTATCTGCATGTTTCTCTGGATATAGACAGACATGATCATCTCTATCTGCATGTTCCTCTGGATATAGACAGACATGATCACCTTTATCTGCCTGTTCCTCTTGATATAGACAGACATGATCATCTGTATCTGCAACTTCCTCACGATAGAGAAATACATGATCACCTGTATCTGCATGTTCCTCTGGATACAGACAGACATGATGATCTGTATGTGCATGTTAGTCAGGATACACACAGACATGATCACCTGTATCTGCATATTAGTCAGGATACAGACATACATGATCACCTGTATCTGCATGTTTCTCTGGATATAGACAGACATGATCATCTCTATCTGCATGTTCCTCTGGATATAGACAGACATGATCACCTTTATCTGCCTGTTCCTCTTGATATAGACAGACATGATCATCTGTATCTGCAACTTCCTCACGATAGAGAAATACATGATCACCTGTATCTGCATGTTCCTCTGGATACAGACAGACATGATCATCTGTATGTGCATGTTAGTCAGGATACAAACAGACATGATCACCTGTATCTGCATGTTAGTCAGGATACAGACATACATGATCACCTGTTTATGCATGTTCCCCTGGATATAGACAGACATGATCACCTATATGTGCATGTTCCCCTGGATATAGACAGACATGATCACCTATATGTGCATGTTCCCCTGGATATCGACAGACATGATCATCTGTATGTGCATGTTAGTCAGGATACAGACAGACATAATCGCCTGTATCTGCATGTTCCTCAGGATATAGACAGACATGATCACCTGTATCTGCATGTTCCCCTGGATATAGACAGACATGATCACCTGTATCTGCATGTTCCTCTGGATATAGACAGACATGATCACCTGTATCTGCATGTCCCCCTGCATATAGACAGACATGATCACCTGTATCTGCATGTTCCTCTGCATATAGACAGACATGATCACCTGTATCTGCTTGTTCCCCTGGATATAGACAGACATGATCGCCTGTATCTGCATGTTCCCCTGGATATAGACAGACATGATCACCTGTATCTGCTTGTTCCCCTGGATATAGACAGACATGATCGCCTGTATCTGCATGTTCCTCTGGATATAGACAGACATGATCACCTGTATCTGCTTGTTCCCCTGGATATAGACAGACATGATCGCCTGTATCTGCATGTTCCCCTGAATATAGACAGACATGATCACCTGTATCTGCATGTCCCCTGGATATAGACAGACATGATCACCTGTATCTGCTTGTTCCCCTGGATATGAGACAGACATGATCGCCTGTATCTGCATGTTCCCTGGATATAGACAGACATGATCACCTGTATCTGCATGTTCCCCTGGATATAGACAGACATGATCACCTGTATCTGCTTGTTCCCCTGGATATAGACAGACATGATCGCCTGTATCTGCATGTTCCCCTGGATATAGACAGACATGATCACCTGTATCTGCATGTCCCCTGGATATAGACAGACATGATCACCTGTATCTGCTTGTTCCCCTGGATATAGACAGACATGATCGCCTGTATCTGCATGTTCCTCTGGATATAGACAGACATGATCACCTGTATTCTGCTTGTTCCCTGGATATAGACAGACATGATCGCCTGTATCTGCATGTTCCCCTGGATATAGACAGACATGATCACCTGTATCTGCATGTTCCCTGGATATAGACAGACATGATCACCTGTATCTGCTTGTTCCCCTGGATATAGACAGACATGATCGCCTGTATCTGCATGTTCCCCTGGATATAGACAGACATGATCACCTGTATCTGCATGTTCCCCTGGATATAGACAGACATGATCGCCTGTATCTGCATGTTCCCCTGGATATAGACAGACATGATCACCTATATGTGCATGCACCTCTAGATAACATTTTTGGTACTTTGTAAAGAAATATAGGAAAATGCAAGTTATTCATACTAACGAATCACCAAAATCTTGTCATTATATGAGCGAATGGATTTTTCGATTTCAGTGTGGATGTGTAAAAAGGAGTTTATTCAGAAAACTTCGAGTGTTGCTTTTTCGTTGACAGAAAGGGCTATTATACCTTTTCTTTGGGTACATAAAGATTTATTCACAAAATTAACTAAAGAACATTGTTTGCTAACATCATTTATCCAACACATCTAACAAACGTGGTAAATGAAATAAAAGATGTGGACATGCCACACTACATATAAATAGAGAATAGTTACCTGTCTGTGTAAAATATAGTCGTGTGATATAAATAGAGAATAATTAGATCTCTGTGTAACTTCTAGTCGCGTGATATAAATAGAGAATAATTACCTGTTTTTATAACTTCTAGTTGGGTGATATAAATAGAGAATAATTAGCTCTCTGTGTAACATCTAGTCGTGTGATATAAATAGAGAATAATTAGCACTCTGTGTAACATCTAGTCGTGTGATATAAATAGAGAATAGTTACCTATCTGTGTAACATCTAGTCGTGTGATATAAATAGAGAATAGGTACCTCTGTGTGTAACATCTAGTTGTGAGATATAAATAGAGAATAGTTACCTATCTGTGTAACATCTAGTCGTGTGATATAAATAGAGAATAGGTACCTCTGTGTGTAACATCTAGTCGTGTGATATACATATAGAATGATTGGGACAGAAAGCTAAGAGTTACCCGTCTGTGTAACATCTAGTCGTGTGATATACATATAGAATGATTGGGACAGACAGCTAAGAGTTACCCGTCTGTGTAACATCTAGTCGTGTGATATACATATAGAATGATTGGGACAGACAGCTAAGAGTTACCCGTCTGTGTAACATCTAGTCGTGTGATATACATATAGAATGATTGGGACAGACAGCTAAGAGTTACCTGTCTGTGTAACATCTAGTCGTGTGATATACATATAGGATGATTGGGACAGACAGCTAAGAGTTGCCTGTCTGGCAAAAAACACAAATTAAGTTCACTGTGGAGTCACTCGAGGCGTTGCCATGGTAACATCCACTACAAGACGCTTCATGTTAGGACATTATCCTGATATACAACCGAAATATACTGATATACAACTGATATATATCTATGATATACAACTGGTATATCCTGATATACAACTGGTATATCCTGATATACAACTGATATATATATGATATGTAACTGGTGTGTCCTCATACACAACTGATGTATCCTGATATAGAACTGATGTATCATGATATACAACTGATTTATCCTTATATACAACTGATATATCCTGATATACAAGTGATGTATCCTTTTATACAACTGATGTATCATGATATACAACTGATGTATCCTGATATACAACAGATGTATCCTTATACAAAACTGATGTATCCTGATGTACAAATATCCTTATATAGAACTGATATATTCTGATATACAAGCGATGTATCCTGATATACAACTGATGTATCCTTATATAGAACTGATGTATCCTGATATACAAGTGATGTATCCTTATATACATCTGATGTATCCTTATATACATCTGATGTATCCTGATATGCAAGTGATGTATCCTGATATACATCTGATGTATCCTGATATACAGCTGACGTCGGAAGTGACGCACTGACGTCAAAGAGATGTTTTACTTTCTATCGCGTATTCATAGTTTTTCATTCAAAACTAAAGTAGGTCTACAAAGTATGAGATCTCACAATGCAGTAATAGATGTACAACATAGAATCAGTCCATTCAAACATGTTTACATGGTTTGAGAAAATGTGTACGATGACGATAGGGTGAGTTAACAATGTCAACCAGCATCATTGATTGGTACGTGGGATCTTGACGACTGCTGGCGGCTGTTGTCCGTGATTGGTACGTGGGATCTTGACGACTGCTGGCGGCTGTTGTCCGTGATTGGTACGTGGGATCTTGACGACTGCTGGCGGCTGTTGTCCGTGATTGGTACGTGGGATCTTGACGACTGCTGGCGGCTGTTGTCCGTGATTGGTACGTGGGATCTTGACGACTGCTGGCGGCTGTTGTCCGTGATTGGTACGTGGGATCTTGACGACTGCTGGCGGCTGTTGTCCGTGATTGGTACGTGGGATCTTGACGACTGCTGGCGGCTGTTGTCCGTGATTGGTACGTGGGATCTTGACGACTGCTGGCGGCTGTTGTCCGTGATTGGTACGTGGGATCTTGACTACTGCTGGCGGCTGTTGTCCGTGATTGGTACTTTGGGTCTTGACGACTGCTGGCGGCTGTTGTCCGTTAGTGGTACGTGGGATCTTGACGACTGCTGGCGGCTGTTGTCCGTGATTGGTACGTGGGAACTTGACGACTGCTGGTGGATGTTGTCCGTGATTGGTACTTGGGGTCTTGACGACTGCTGGTGCCTATTTTCCTTGATGGTCCACCACAGTAGAAGAGAGTGGTCATGTCTAAACTAATGGTAATGAGTGCATAAACTTGCAGATTTAACTGTTGGAGATGTCTTGGTATAAGGAATACACGTGGTACTGCGGGGGCTTTCGGAGTGAATGACGGAGTGGCGAGGATCTTGTCGACAATGTTCCGCTACAGGAACGAGCTGTTTCTCGTGTATCAGAGATACTATAAGCAAGGTTGGAGGCACAAGTTGACAAACTCTGAAATTCAGATTAAAGAGCACTGTAACAATAATAATCATTAAGTAAAATCACAAGACAGATGAAAGAGCACTGCGACAATAACATTTGGTTATGTAAAGACGCAAGACAGATTAAAGAGTACTGTGGCAATAATAATCATTAAGTCAAAAGGCAAGACAAATTTAAGAGCACTGTGAACACTGAGACAATAATAATCGATATGTAACTATACCTAAACATTATCTCTACTCCAGGTAATTCTGTACATTTTTTCCATTGAAAATCAGTTTCATTATTTCCAAACATATATATATCCGGTATTGAAATTGATACCAGACAGTTGTCTATCTCCACACCTATGTACACCTTGAGCACACTATTGTATCTGATGACATGCGCACACCAAGCCAATCAAAAATTCCCCTATTTGTGTCAAGGTTATCCTACGATATTAGTTTGCAATTTTCACATTAATCCCATCCAAACTGGAGGCGCACAAACACTGCTAGCATCCCTACTCCTTCATCAAGATACCCGCCTTGTGTTACAAACAATACACCACTACTATTACACAACAAACACTGCTAGCATCCCTACTCCTTCATCAAGATACCTGCCTTGCGTTACAAACAATACACCACTACTATTACACAACAAACACTGCTGGCATCCCTACTCCTTCATCAAGATATCCCTACTCCTTCATCAAGATACCTGCCTTGCGTTACAAACAATACACCACTACTATTACACAACAAACACTGCTAGCATCCCTACTCCTTCATCAAGATACCTGCCTTGCGTTACAAACAATACACCACTACTATTACACAACAAACACACAAACCCAACCTATCTTACCAACACACATCTACTCCCTAATCAACACACATCTACTCTGTAACAACATACATCTACTCTGTAACAACATACATCTACTCTCTAACCAACACAAATCTACTCGGTAACCAACACATCTACTCGGTAACAACACACATCTACTCTGTAACTAATACACATTACTCTGCAACAACACACATCTACTCTGTAACAAACACATCTACTCTGTAACCAACATTCATCTACTCTGTAACAACACACATCTACTCTGAAACAACACACATCTACTCATTAATCAACACACATCTACTCGGTAACCAACACATCTACTCGGTAACCAACACACATCTACTCTCTAACCAACACAAATCTACTCTGTAACCAACGCACATTTACTCTGTAACCAACACACATCTACTCTGTAACTAATACACATTACTCTGCAACAACACACATCTACTCTGTAACAAACACATCTACTTTGTAACCAACATTCATCTAGTCTGTAACAACACACATCTACTCTGAAACAACACACATCTACTCTGTAACAACACACATCTACTCTGTAACCAACACACATCTGCTCTGTAACTAATACACATCTACTCTGTAACAACACAAATCTACTCTGTAACAACATACATCTACTCTGTAACAACGCACATCTACTCTGTAACAACACACATCTACTCTGTAACCACACACATCTACTCTGTAACAACATACATCTACTCTGAAACCAACACACATATACTCCGTAAACAACACACATCTACTCTGTAACCAACACACATCTACTCTCTAATCAACACACATCTACACTGTAACCAACACACATCTACTCTGTAACCAACACACATCTACTCTGTAACCAACACATCTACTCTGTAACCAACACACATCTACTCTGTAACCAACACATCTGTACCAACACATCTGTGTAACCACATCTACTCTGTAACAACATACATCTACTCTGTAACCAACACACATCTACTCTGTAACAACACACATCTACTCTGTAACCAAGACACATCTACTCTGTAACAACACACATCTACTCTGTAACAACACACATCTACTCTGTAACAAACATACATCTACTCTGTAACAAACACACCTCTACTCTGTAACAACACACATCTACTCTGTAACAACACACATCTACTCTGTAACAAACACACATGTACTCTGTAACAAACACACATCTACCCTGTAACCAACACACATCTACTCTGTAACCAACTCACATCTACTCTGTAACAAACACACAGTACTCTGTAACTAACACACTTCAACCCAGTAACCAACACACATCTACTCTGTAACCATCACAAATCTACTCTGTAACAACGCACATCTACTCTGTAACAACACACATCTACTCTGTAGCCAACAAATCTACTCTGTAACAACACATCTACTCTGTAACAACACACATGTACTCTGTAACCAACACACATCTACTCTGTAACCAACACACATCTACTCTGTAACCAACACACATCTACTCTGTAACAACACTCTGTAACTAACACACTTCAACCCAGTAACCAACACACATCTACTCTATAACCAACACACATATATTCTGTAACCTGGCCCAAGGTAACATAATACCAGATATGGGGTAACGGTTCACAATAATAAACTCACAGACACAAGGTAACAGAAACAGGTAATTAGGTTCATACCGACATGGTGGGAGAAACAGACCCATAAATACTGAGTCAGAGAACACAGGCTCATAATGGCAGGGTCGGGTAAACATGTTCATAAATACCGGGTCAGAGAAAAAGACTCATATATACTGTCCAACAGCACCTGGCAAAACAGTGACAACATATGGTAAACCTGTATTCACCCTCATAGTCGATCTTGCCATCTCCATTGAGATCAGCGTATTTCATCATGTAGTCCAGCTCTGCCTCAGAGAGACATTCCCCCAGGCTGGTGAGTACACCCTGGATCTCCTTCCTGTCGATGAACTTGTTCCCGTCCCTGTCGAACGTCTTGAACGCTCGCAGCATCACGTCTTGGAAGTCCTCCTTGTGAGGTAAGCTCTGCTTGGTTTCCTTCATGAACGACCGGAAGTCCTCGAAGTCGCACTTGCCATTGCCTACGTCACAGTTAAAATATTAAGTGAGTGAGTGAGTTTAGATTTACGCCGCGTTACAATATTAAGGACCAATATTAAGTAAAAAATATGTTGAGGAAGACATTAGGAAAACATGAGGAAGACATTTCCCAAATTTGACTCATCAGTGACTAAAGGCATCACATGCAAATGAAACTCCTGCAAATGACACTGGCTAATGGTTGCATTATTTCTATAGTCTTCATTATATCTGGTGAACCGACTCTTGATCGAATGAAAAGTTGGGTAACGTTTCTATTGATTAGCACATATCTTTCAGGAAACCGATGTTCGCCTATCTATGATACACATGGATGAACACAAGATGGTGGCAGTGGCAAGATCTGTTGAACTAGAGCTCCCACCAAAGACGTGGAGAAGTTATCTACACGTAAGTTCAACGAATAATTAAGTTCTCTTACATGTTACTTGTTTCCAAGTGACTACCTGTCAACTATAGCCTATTTTGGACATCTAGAAATAGAAGCGACGAAATCTTTTCCACATTCATAAGAAATATCTGCAAAACGCAGAGTCGATTGTACAATTGTGAGCAGATATTTTTTCAGCAGTATTACAGCTGTATGATGTTGTTTGTAAACAAATTTGGTCTGAACTAGACAATCAAGTGATTGTCACCATCCGCAACGATGACAGAGCATGTGTTCATGAACCATTATGAAATTTATTATGATATCAGGTGTTCGATATCCAGCCCCATTGGTGGCACTCGTCATAAACATATGCCAAGTCTAGTCAATTGTTCCCCTCAAATAATTCGGGAACGTATGGTATAAGTCAAAAGTGGAAGTACTAAAGACTGTTGTTGTGTTGGCGAACTCTTTGTCAAAAGACATGTGCATTTTCACCTTATTTTCACTTTTCACTTTTCAACATTCCGTCCACCCGTACTCATTTTGTTTCCGGGGCAGAACTCTTGCTGTTCCATATATTTCAACATAAGTTGGTACATATATCAAACAGAACCTAAAGTCGTGCCTTCCTTTTGCTGTTTACACATATTTTTGTCATTATTATTTTTCTTGGTTTCCATGGAAACGATTTGAACTTGGACTCAAAAGGGAGGGGTGACCTTCGTTTCAGGAGCACAACTCGAAAACCGTTCAGTATCTTTCAACAGAACTTAGCAGATAATTGAGACATACCCAAAAGTGGTGCCTTTTCCTATTTGCGGATATTGAGCAGTTTTTATGTTTTCGCAGAGTTTAGGTCCTAATAATAAAACGTTTGTTATCATCAATATTTTGACACAGTTCACTATTGTTACGAGGGAGGGGTGCAAAGAGAGGAACAGCCAGATGTGCGAGAAAGGGTGGAGACGGCACAGCACAGCTAAATGAATCAATAACTTTGTCAGCACTTGTACACGTGCTTCTAGACTAAGGCTTAGTCTCTGAATATATATAATTTTGATATTAACAAACAAGCCCATTTAAATTGAAAAAGAGCCCTAGAGAGACCAGAGATTCAGAATCTGGGGAAATCTAGACTTGCTTCGTTTAGGGCTTTAGCACTACAAGTTGTGTTCCGCCAAAGCAGAAGTCAGTGTTTTTAATTGCTCTGAGCTTGGAGTTCAGGTTTTAGATTTTAGATGAGTTGAGACGAAAACCCACACTGTCATATCAAATCAGAAAATATAATTGTTAGGGTTCCCTTATTTTTGCGACCAGGTATATATATATATATAAATGTCTGCTTGTATATGTCTCTCATAGCTTAACACGAGTGGCGCTGTCCCCGTACTTTACTCGAACTCACCATCTCTGTCCAACCTCTTTGCAGCCTCAGACACGTGTTTCTGGGTTGGATTGTAGTTGAGGCTTCTGAGCACGCTTCCCAGTTCATGGAGTGAGATGGTGCCGTCGTTGTCCTTATCAAACATCTGAAAGGCGCGTCTCCAAACTGCAATAAGACCATATAGCAGACTAAACACACACGAATATAAACATCGACAAACGTATTGTGTATTCACATCATCATTATGTTTGAATTGTAGGACTATTTTCACCCTTCGTGCACACCGTACATTCAGTTTAGATCGTGCTGCGATCAAAGGCGACCATAACGTTTAATCCGTGTAGCCGGCATTATAATAATATGTGACCACTTCTCAGAATCACCAGACTTCATCCATTCACATCAGTCAGTGATTGAAGTTGGGTAGATGAAGTATGAGGACCATTTTTATGTGACATCACTTGCTTGAGAGCGACATTTGAATGTATGTCGAATCGTCGCCTATACAGAATATAGAAGTTGTATATCCATGAAAATAGTCCTCATCCTTCTCCCTTTGTCCTTCAGAACAGTCCGATCTATAGATCTATCAGACGTCCGTTGTTTTCCCTAGAACACAAAGCAGCGCTTAGCTTTGAGGTCATTGGGAAGGGTCCAGCGGTCGGGCGAAAGTTGACTTTTGTTATTAATGACTGATGGCCGAGCTCGTGTATGGCGCCGCAGAAACACAACATACGGAATATCTTGGAGCAAATACTGTTTGGCAGGGGGTTATTGATGCTGTGGGGTGCCTCTCACATGATTGTAAACTTGACCTTGTGAGGGTCAGAAGAAATCTGAATGAACAACGGAACATCACTGATATCAGGGCTAGAATTGATGAATGTCAGCTTCTTTTTGATCGTTCACCGTTTGCAAGAATACGAATATAGTCCGAAACATCCTGTTCCTCAAAACACTAGTTGACTTACACAAACAGTCAGCTTTATGGGTCTAAATGCCGCTCGAAGACCTGATCACTGACAACCTAGGAAGGGTTTTTGTACGCTATTTTGATGATCATCTCTAAACACAAGGCCAGTTGTCATGGGTGAAAATGCCAGGCCACATCCTGCAAGCGTTGTTAGCGATTTCTCACGCCAAGTTATTGGTGCAACAGTCAGTAGAGTAATTAGTGATGTGTGAGTGAGTATGGTTTTAGCAAATAGTGATGAAGAAACATGTCATGGGTGTAACAATTAGTAGAGTAATTACAGATGAAGAAACAAGTTATAGGAGCAACAGTCAATAGAGTAACTAGTTATGAAGAAACACGTCATGGGTCTTACAGTCAGTAGCGTAATTAGAGTCCGTTTCGCTCAAAAACGGACCAATGAATTGCACTCTAACTCGAAAACTACTAAACATATAATACTCAATGAAACACTGATCATAATCAAAATATCAGACCTACTCTGTGATTTATGCCCTAAAAAAAGTTACTCATCAGTTGAGTAATTAGTTATGAAGAAACATGATTACACAATGCCATTTAGAAAGTGGTCAAATGTAACATATGTTATATTTGGGATAACACTTCCTTTGTAAAGTACAAATTCTAGTACTTTTTGAGTTGAGCCCCATCCGGGATTCGAACTCAAACCCTGAGAGTTAGGCACCTAATCGCCAGCACACAAAGTCAGCCGCCTAACCCACTCAGCTACCGATTCTACAGTTCTTAGTAACCGTAGTGCGTCGCTAGAACTGATAGGTGTTTGTATTACCTTCATCTTGCGCTGATTCCTCCGACTGTCTCAACTGATTTTCATCCTACAACAAGTAACCGCATGTAGTTACATATCATACGATCAATGTAGGTCAATAGTCTATTATTTTATTCCACGATTAGAGCCTATTCCTTTCTCACTTAAATTTATACATTGTACCAACCTGGTATTAACGCAGACCTACGTGTGTCCACGTGTACCCAAATGGCATGTGCCCTTATGGATTTGAGGCATACCCAAATGGCATCTGCCCTTCTTGTATTGAGGTATATCTAAATGACATGTGCCCTTCTTGTATCGAAATATACTCAAATGACGTGTGCCCTTTATGTATTGAGGTATACCCAAATGACGCGTGCCCTTCTTGTATTGAGGTATACCCAAATGACGTGTGTACTTCATATATTCAGATATACCCAAAAGACGAGTGCCCTTCTTGTATTGAGGTATACCAAAATGACGTGTGCCCTTCATGTATTGAGGTATACCCAAATGATGCGTGCCCTTATTGTGTTGAGGTATGCCCAAATGACTAGTGCCCTTCTCGTATCGAGGTATACCCAAATGATGTGTGCCTTTTTGTATCGAGGTATACCCTTCTTCCTTTGTAATTAAATCAAGAAACCGATCTTGTTATCGAAAAATGCACTTGGTTAAGTAAGACACAAGGGAAGAAACAGTGTGACTTCAGTCGGCGTTAGCGTGCACAGAGAAAATGTGGAGCCTCCCTTCTAAACAGTATGCACATAGAATGTGTACCTTCCCTTGAAAACAGTATACACATAGAACGTGTACCTTCCCTTGTACATAGTATACACATAGAACGTGTGCCTTAATCCCCATGTTAATAGTATACACATAGAATGTGTACCTTCCCTTGTAAACAGTATACACATACAACGTGTATATTCCCTTGTACATAGCACACACATAGAACGTGTACCTTCCCTTGTAAATAGTATACACATAGAACGTATACCTTCCCTTGTAAACAGTATACACACAGAAGGTGTACCTTCCCTTGTACATAGTATACACATAGAACGTGTACCTCCCTTGTAAATAGTATACACATAGAACGTGTTCCTTCCCTTGTAAACAGTATACACATAGAACGTATACCTTCCCTTGTAAATAGAATACACATAGAACGTACATATACCACATACCCCTTGTACATAGTATACACATAGAACGTGTACCTTCCCTTGTAAATAGTATACACATAGAACGTATACCTTCCCTTGTAAACAGTATACACATAGAACGTGTACCTTCCCTTGTAAATAGTATACACATAGAACGTGTACCTTCCCTTGTAAACAGTATACACATAGAACGTATACCTTCCCATGTAAATAGTATACACATAGAACGTGCACCTTCCCTTGTAAATAGTATGTATACACATAGAACGTGTACCTTAATTCCCATGTTAAGAGTATACACATAGAATGTGTACCTTCCCTTGTTAACAGTATACACATAGAACGTGTACCTTCCCTTGTACATAGTATACACATAGAACTTGTGCCTTCCCTTGTAAATAGTATACACATAGAACGTATACCCTCCCTTGTAAAGTATACACATAGAACGTGTACCTTCCCTTGAACATAGTATACACATAGAACGTGTACCCTCCCTTGTAAACAGTATACACATAGAACGTGTACCTTCCCTTGTAAATAGTATACACATAGAACGTATACCTTCCCATGTAAACAGTATACATATAGAACGTGTACCCTCCCTTGTACATAGTATACACATAGAACGTGTACCTTCCCTTGTAAAAAGTATACACATAGAACGTGTTCCTTCCCTTGTAAACAGTATACACATAGAACGTGTACCTCCCTTGTACATAGTATACACATAGAACGTGTACCTTCCCTTGTAAATAGTATACACATAGAACGTATACCTTCCCTTGTAAACAGTATACACATAGAACGTGTACCTTCCCTTGTAAATAGTATACACATAGAACGTGTACCTTCCCTTGTAAACAGTATACACATAGAACGTATAACTTCCCATGTAAATAGTATACACATAGAACGTGCACCTTCCCTTGTAAATAGTATGTATACACATAGAACGTGTACCTTAATTCCCATGTTAATAGTATACACATAGAATGTGTACCTTTCCTTGTTAACAGTATACACATAGAACGTGTACCTTCCTTTGTACATAGTATACACATAGAACTTGTGCCTTCCCTTGTAAATAGTATACACATAGAACGTATACCCTCCCTTGTAAACAGTATACACATAGAACGTGTACCTTCCCTTGAACATAGTATACACATAGAACGTGTACCCTCCCTTGTAAACAGTATACACATAGAACGTGTACCTTCCCTTGTAAATAGTATACACATAGAACGTATACCTTCCCATGTAAACAGTATACACATAGAACGTGTACCTTCCCTTGAACATAGTATACACATAGAACGTGTACCTTCCCTTGTACATAGTATACACAGAGAACGTGTACCTTCCCTTGTAAATAGTATACACATAGAACGTATACCTTCCCATGTAAACAGTATACACATAGAACGTGTACCTTCCCTTGAACATAGTATACACATAGAACGTGTACCTTCCCTTGTACATAGTATACACATAGAACGTGTACTTTCCCTTGTAAATAGTATACACATAGAACGTATACCTTCCCTTGTAAACAGTATAAACATAAACGTGTACCTTCCCTTGTACATAGTATACACATAGAACGTGTACCTTCCCTTGTAAACAGTATACACATAGAACGTATACCTTCCCTTGTAAATAGTATACACATAGAACGTGTACCTTCCCTTGTAAATAGTATGTATACACATAGAACGTGTACCTTAATTCCCATGTAAATAGTATACACATAGAGCGTGTACCTCCCTTGTAAACAGTATACACATAGAACGTGTACCTTCCCTTGTACATAGTATACACATAGAGCGTGTACCTCCCTTGTAGATAGTATACACATAGAACGTGTACCCTCACTTGTAAATAGTATACACATAGAACATGTACCTTCCCTTGTAAATAGTATACACATAGAACGTATACCTTCCCTTGTACATAGTATACACATAGAACGTCTACCCTCACTTGTAAATAGTATACACATAGAGCGTGTACCTTCCCATGTAAATAGTATACACATAGAACGTGTACCTTCCCTAATACATAGTATACACATAGAACGCGTGCCTTTATTCCCATGTAAATAGTATCCATAGTTATTCGTACCTTCCATATCTATACCATGTAAATAGGCATACACATAGAACGTACTAACTTCCCATATGTACTGATAGTATACAGTATAACGTGTACCTTCCCTGTATGCACATAGTATGTACCTTCATTCCCAGAACTGTGTTATGCATGGGGTACCTTCCTTGTACATAGTAATATACACATAGAACGTGTACTTCCCTTGTAAATGGTTATACACATAGAACGTGTACCTCCTTGAAACATGGTATACACATACAGAACGTACCCCTCCTTCATCGTAAACATATTATACACATAGAACGTGTACCTTCCCTTGTAAAATGAGTATACACATAGAACGTGGTACCTTCCCTTGTAAATAGTATACACATAGAACGTGTACCTTCCCTAAGTAACATATGTATACACATAGAACGTGTGTACCTTCCATTGTAAATAGTATACACATAGAACGTGTACCTTCCCATGTAAATGGGTATACATAAGTGGAACGTGTGCCTTCCCTTGTACCATGGTATACACATAGAACGTGTATACCTTGTACATGTGTACTGTTCCATAGAGCGTGTATTCCTCCATGGTAAATAGAGCGTATACCATTCCACACATTGTGTACCTCCATGTATGTAAACATAATTGTACCTTCCCTATGAATAGTATACACATGGAACGTGTAATTCATTCCTTGTAAATGTAATACACATGGAGACTATACCTTCCTTGTAAATAGTATACACATAGAACGTGTTGCCTTCCATATTGGCATAGTATGTATACACACATGGAACGTCACCACATATTCCTGTGTAAATATGTATACCACATAGGACGTATGCCTCCCTTGTAAATGGTATGTCACATGGGACGATGATAGTGGAATGGCAGTGGCCTCCATGTAAAATGGTATACACATAGAGACGTGTACCCTCACTTGTAAATAGTATACACATAGAACATGTACCTTCCCTTGCAAATAGTATACACATAGAACGTATACCTTCCCTTGTACATAGTATACACATAGAACGTGTACCCTCACTTGTAAATAGTATACACATAGAGCGTGTACCTTCCCTTGTAAATAGTATACACATAGAATGTGTACCTTCCCTAATACATAGTATACACATAGAACGTGTGCCTTTATTCCCATGTAAATAGTATACACATAGAACGTGTACCTTCCCTTGTAAATAGTATACACATAGAACGTGTGCCTTCATTCCCATGTAAATAGTATACACATAGAACGTGTACCTTCCCTTGTACATAGTATACACATAGAACGTGTACCTTCCCTTGCAAATAGTATACACATAGAACATGTAACTTCCCATGTAAATAGTATACACATAGAACGTGTACCTCCCTTGTACATAGTATACACATAGAACGTGTACCTCCCTTGTAAATAGTATACACATAGAACGTGTACCTTCCCTAATACATAGTATACACATAGAACGTGTGCCTTTATTCCCATGTAAATAGTATACACATAGAACGTGTGCCTTCATTCCCATGCAAATAGTATACACATAGAACGTGTACCTTAATTCCCATGTAAATAGTATACACATAGAACGTGTACCTCCCTTGTAAATAGTATACACATAGAACATGTACCTTCCCTTGTAAATAGTATACACATAGAACGTGTACCTCCCTTGTAAATAGTATACACATAAAACATGTAGCTCCCTTGTAAACACTATTTATTATAAACATGTGACATGTACCCTCCCTTGTAACTGTATATCAGCATGGCTTACTCTCTTCTATTGTAATATAAGTTGGCGCCCTCCTTGTTGCAGTGAATCTACCGCTGGTCTATTCAGATGTGCGATCAATACATTTAGGTGTGTCGCCACGCTGACACACAGGTTCGTGTCTCCACATGTCTTGTGTTGTGTCGTTACCAGCCAGTGGTTTTCCCCTGTCTCTGGCGGCCACGCTCTAGATGTATATTTGTTCAGTTTTCAAACATAGCCACTGGTAACATAAGGCACGTATAAGTAGATCACTATGTGAATACAAACAAATACAGGAGAGCTACTTTATAAAACGGAAATATCGACTCCAAGTGGGGGCTATATATTTCTTTATACTGTGATGTTTTTCTATCATAATGAACAGCACATGGAAGCAGTGATAATACAGCCACACCAGCAGTAGATAACCGAGGGTAAAATAGTCCACTTACCATGTCTGAGTCTTCCACCCCGGGTGATCGATATGTGCTCACCAACGCGTGGAGATTCCCGCGTGTTTACCAAGCGTGGTCATGTCAGCAAGCATTCATCAGCTTCACAACAGCCTTCACCTTGACCCCCGACCAGTTGCCATGTTTCAATCTGACAGTTTGACCGAACGCTGTTAGTGAGACTTCCACGGCTATACGTGTATACCATGGCTTGTGTCTAACTATAATAGTAGGGCGAATATAGGTTCCACACGAGTGGATAACTGAAATTTGAATACAGGTATGTCTGAATATACACAAAATCACGGAAATATTAAAATGTCTGTATGTAATCATAATAATAAGGAATTTGTGTTGTCATATACTGGTTGAGCATGAAAAGATAAGGATGGTCTGTGTTGATATACCTATATCTTATACAGTATACGGTAAGGTGTGTGTTGATATACTGGTGTGTAATGATAGTATCACAGTGTACGGTAAGGTGTGTGTTGATATACTGGTGTGTAATGATAGTATCACAGTGTACGGTAAGGTGTGTGTTGATATACTGGTGTGTAATGATAGTATCACAGTGTACGGTAAGGTGTGTGTTGATATACTGGTGTGTAATAATAGTATCACAGTGTACGGTAAGGTGTGTATTGATATACTGGTGTGTAATGATAGTATCACAGTGTACGGTAAGGTGTGTATTGACATACTGGTGTGTAATGATAGTATCACAGTGTACGGTAAGGTGTGTGTTGATATACTGGTGTGTAATGATAGTATCACAGTGTACGGTAAGGTGTGTGTTGATATACTGGTGTGTAATGGTAGTATCACAGTGTACGGTAAGGTGTGTATTGATATACTGGTGTGTAATGATAGTATCACAGTATACGGTAAGGTGGGTGTGTAATGATAGTTATCACAGTATACGGTAAGGTGTGTATTGACATACCAGTGTGTAATGATGGTATCACAGTATACGGTAAGGTGTGTGTTCATATACTGGTGTGTTATAATAGTATCACAGTGTACGGTAAGGTGTGTATTGATATACTGGTGTGTAATAATAGTATCACAGTGTACGGTAAGGTGTGTATTGATATACTGGTGTGTAATGATAGTATCACAGTATACGGTAAGGTGTGTGTTGATATACTGGTGTGTTATGATAGTATCACAGTGTACGGTAAGGTGTGTATTGATATACTGGTGTGTAATGATGGTATCACAGTATACGGTAAGGTGTGTGTTCATATACTGGTGTGTTATAATAGTTCACAGTGTAATGTGTATTGATATACAATGATAGTATCACAGTGTACGGTAAGGTGTGTATTGACATACTAGTGTGTAATGATGGTATCACAGTATACGGTAAGGTGTGTGTTCATATACTGGTGTGTTATAATAGTATCACAGTGTACGGTAAGGTGTGTATTGATATACTGGTGTGTAATAATAGTATCAAAGTGTACGGTAAGGTGTGTATTGATATACTGGTGTGTAATGATAGTATCACAGTGTACGGTAAGGTGTGTGTTGATATACTGGTGTGTAATAATAGTATCACAGTGTACGGTAAGGTGTGTATTGATATACTGGTGTGTAATAATAGTATCACAGTGTACGGTAAGGTGTGTATTGATTTACTGGTGTGTAATGATAGGATCACAGTGTACGGTAAGGTGTGTATTAATATACTTGTGAGTAATGATAGTATCACAGTGTACGGTAAGGTGTGTGTTGATATACAGGTGTGTAATGGTAGTATCACAGTGTACGGTAAGGTGTGTATTGACATACTGGTGTGTAATGATAGTTTCACAGTGTACGGTAAGGTGTGTATTGATATACTGGTGTGTAATGATAGTATCACAGTGTACGGTCAGGTGTGTGTTGATATACTGCTGTGTAATGGTAGTATCAAAGTGTACGGTCAGGTGTGTATTGATATACTGGTGTGTAATAATAGTATCACAGTGTACGGTAAGGTGTGTGTTGATATACTGGTGTGTAATAATAGTATCACAGTGTACGGTAAGGTGTGTGTTGATATACTGGTGTGTAATAATAGTATCACAGTGTAATGTACGGTAAGGTGTGTATTGATATACTGGTGTGTAATAATAGTATCACAGTGTACGGTAAGGTGTGTATTGATTTACTGGTGTGTAATGATAGGATCACAGTGTACGGTAAGGTGTGTATTGATATACTTGTGAGTAATGATAGTATCACAGTGTACGGTAAGGTGTGTGTTGATATACTGGTGTGTAATGGTAGTATCACAGTGTACGGTAAGGTGTGTATTGACATACTGGTGTGTAATGATAGTTTCACAGTGTACGGTAAGGTGTGTATTGATATACTGGTGTGTAATGATAGTATCACAGTGTAACGGTCAGGTGTGTGTTGATATACTGGTGTGTAATGGTAGTGTCACAGTGTACGGTAAGGTATGTGTTGATATACTGGTGTGTAGTGATAGTTTCACAGTGTACGGGAAGGTGTGTATTGATATCCTGGTGTCCAATGATAGTATCACAGTGTACGGTAAGGTGTGTGTTGATATACTGGTGTGTAATGGTAGTATCACAGTGTACGGTAAGGTGTGTATTGATATACTGGTGTGTAATATTAGTATCACAGTGTACGGTAAGGTGTGTATTGATATACTGGTGAGTAATGATAGTATCACAGTGTACGGTAAGGTGTGTGTTGATATACTGGTGTGTAATGATAGTATCACAGTGTACGGTAAGGTGTGTGTTGATATACTGGTGTGTAATGATAGTATCACAGTGTAAGGTAAGGTGTGTATTGATTTACTGGTGTGTAATGATAGGATCACAGTGTACGGGAAGGTATGTCTTGATATACTGCTGTATAAGGATAGTTTCACAGTGTACGGTAAGGTGTGTGTTGGTATACGGCTGTATAAGAATAGTTTCACAGTGTACGGTAAGGTGTGTATTGATATACTGGTGGGTAATGGTAGTATCACAGTGTACGGTAAGGTGTGTATTGATATACTGGTGTGTAATAATAGTATCAAAGTGTACAGTAAGGTGTGTATTGATATACTGGTGTGTAATGATAGTATCACAGTGTACGGTAAGGTGTGTGTTCATATACTGATGTGTAATAATAGCATCATAGTGTACGGTAAGGTGTGTATTGATATACTGGTGTGTAATAATAGTTTCACAGTGTACGGTAAGGTGTGTATTGATTTACTGCTGTATAATGATAGTATCACAGTGTCCGGTAAGGTGTGTGTTGATATACTGGTGTGTAATGATAGTATCACAATGTACGGTAAGGTGTGTGTTGATATACTGGTGTGTAATGATAATATCACAGTACATGGTAAGGTGTGTATTGATGTACTGGTGTGTAATGATAGCATCACAGTGTACGGTAAGGTGTGTGTTGATATACTGGTGTGTAGTGATCGTATCACAGTGTACGGTAAGGTATGTGTTGATATACTGCTGTATAAGGATAGTTTCTCAGTGTACGGTAAGGTGTGTGTTGGTATACTGGTGTGTAATGATGGTATCACAGTGTACGGTAAGGTGTGTGTTGATATACTGGTGTGTAATGATAGTATCACATTGCACGGGAATGTGTGTGTTGATATACTGGTGTGTAATGGTAGTATCACAGTGTACGGTAAAGTGTGTATTGATATACTGGTGTGTAATAATAGCATCACAGTGTACGGTAAGGTGTGTGTTGATATCCTGGTGTGCAATGATAGTATCACAGTGTACGGTAAGGTGTGTGTTGATATACTGGTGTGTAATGGTAGTATCACAGTGTACGGTAAGGTGTGTATTGATATGCTGGTGTGTAATAATAGTATCAAAGTGTACGGTAAGGTGTGTATTGATATACTGGTGTGTAATGGTAGTATCACAGTGTACGGTATGGTGTGTATTGATATACTGGTGTGTAATGGTAGTATAACAGTGTACGGTAAGGTGTGTATTGATATACTGGTGTGTAATAATAGTATCAAAGTGTACGGTAAGGTGTGTATTGATATATTGGTGTGCAATGATAATATCACAGTGTACGGGAAGGTGTGTATTGATATCCTGGTGTGCAATGATAGTATCACAGTGTACGGTAAGGTGTGTTGATATACTGGTGTGTAATGGTAGTATCACAGTGTAAAGTAAGGTGTGTATTGATATACTTGTGTGTAATAATAGTATCACAGTGTACGGTAAGGTGTGTATTGATATACTCGTGTGTAATAATAGTATCACAGTGTACGGTAAGGTGTGTGTTGATATCCTGGTGTGCAATGATAGTATCACAGTGTACGGTAAGGTGTGTGTTGATATACTGGTGTGTAGTGATAGTATCACAGTGTACGGTAAGGTATGTGTTGATATACTGGTGTGTAATGATAGTATCACATTGCACGGTAAGGTGTGTGTTGGTATACTGGTGTGTAATGATAGAATCACAGTGTACGGTAAGGTGTGTGTTGATATACTGGTGTGTAATGATAGTATCACAGTGTACGGTAAGAAGTGTGTTGGTATACTCCTGTGTAATGATAGTATCACAGTGTACGGTAAGATGTGTGTTGGTATACTGCTGTAGAATGATAGTATCACAGTACACGGTAAGGTGTGTTTTGATATACTGGTGTGTAATGATAGTATCACAGTGTACGGTAAGGTATGTCTTGATATACTGCTGTATAAGGATAGTTTCACAGTGTACGGTAAGGTGTGTGTTGGTATACGGCTGTATAAGGATAGTATCACAGTGTACGGTAAGGTGTGTATTGATATACACGTGTGTAATAATAGTATCACAGTGTACGGTAAGGTGTGTATTGATTTACTGCTGTATAATGATAGTATCACAGTGTACGGTAAGGTGTGTGTTGGTATACGGCTGTATAAGGAAAGTTTCACAGTGTACGGTAAGGTGTGTATTGATATACTGGTGGTGGGTAATGGTAGTATCAATAGTGTATAACGGTAAGGTGTGTATTGATATACTGGTGTGTAATAATGAGTATCAAAGTGTACAGTAAAGGTGTGTATTGACATACTGGTGTGTAATGATAAGTATCACAGTGTACGGTAAGGTGTGTTCCATATACTGATGTGTA